CTGAAGCCCTGAAGGGACAGTTCTCCAAATTGGACACATTTCTTGAGAACCCGAATGCTGAAGGGGAAATGCTTTTCCTATGATGTTCCCATAACTATTTTCTAAGCACTTGCATCATCTGAGAAGTGAGTGTGGAGTAAAGGTCAAGGATCTCCACTGTCCGACCTTCAACTAAAGCTATGTCATCCCTGGTGCTTTATTTCAAAAGGGTAACCTGAGCGTTATAGTGGGAATCCCCTGGCATCCTTCTCCAGGGCCTTCTGCTAAATTAAGGCTGCCCGTAACTTGACTCATGAAAACTCAAGCCTTTCAAGATTCCTGCTCTTAATGCCAACAGTTGGGGTATGGGTTTTTGGGGCCAGACCAAGCACTGATTTTAGAGCAATAACTGCAGAGACAAATTGCTTCCCTGAAGAAATGAAATAGAGAATTCATGTTGGATGCTAGTATGATTTACTCATCTTGATAGCGCTATTGCCTGTTGTTATGTCCAATAGCAGAGCCAGCTATCCTGGATGCTGGCATTCTGCCACTGGCAATTTAGGGCCTGATATGCCAGTACAATGTGTTGGGTCTTTCCCATGAGGCTTAAGTTGGAAGAATTATTTAGAGATTCCCAAAAGAATGGGAATTAGAGTATAAGTGATTTTGCAGAGTCAGAAAGGGCCATAATGCTAGGAAGAGGGTTCCTCACTTGGACAGGGGAAATGCTATTTGCTTCAGAAGGGACCTGACCGGTTTGGCTCAGGAGGGCACAGAGAAGACAAAACTGGAGGAACTTGTTTTACAAGGACATTGTGTTTTACTAAATCTTTAGCTGTGCTGTTGTTAAAATGAAGAGAAATGAGAAATTGTTTCCTTTCTTTTATTCCTCATCTTGTCTGTCTCCCTTTACATCCTCAGAATTATCAGCCTATGGTCATAAACAGACACAGCAAAGCTTAATATAATCACTCACTTTCCTAGAGCAACAAAATCTTTTAATCAAATTTCCCTAGGGGCACTCAGGAAGCAGGAAGAAGTCTCATAAACAAGCTTTCCCAGAAGAGCTGAGATAATGCTATTCAATTTAGAGGAGACACAGACAGAACCATTTCTCCGAGGGATTTTACAAAAAATATAGCTTGGAATAAGTGATTTTAGGGGGCCAAGATACATACACTGAAATTGATCATTATTGCCATGACTATGTTTCCACAGCTGTATCTCCTTAGTTTAAGAAACACTGAGCCAAACTCTAATTGGTGATTTCAAATCCAGTGAATTCTTATAATCACTATCACGACCATCATCCAAACTACCATTTAGTATATTCACACACTGCGGTGAGTACTTTAATATATAATTAGGTTATTTAATCCTTATAGCGACCCTGTGAGAAATTTTTCTCTCTATTTAAAGAGAATGTAATTGAGCAAGACACCTGCCAAGAACAAAGAGCTGGTGAGGAGCAGAGTTGCAAGTTAAACCCAGGTCAGACTGACTCCCAAGTCTCTACTATTAACCACAACTGTGCTTCCATCTCCGAGTTCCTGCATAAAGACCACTGACGGCTGCCTGTACACAGCACTGCACAACCTATAAACCATTTCACATTACATCCTTTGATTTATTTTTTTTTTTTTAAAGATTTTATTTATTTTATTTTTTGCCCCCAAAGCCCCAGTAGATAGTTGTATGCCATAGCTGCACACCCTTCTAGTTGCTGTATGTGGGACTCGGCCTCAGGATGGACAGAGAAGTGGTGCCTCGATGCGCATCCGGGATCCGAACCCGGGCCGCCAGCATCGCAGCGCGCGCACTTAACCACCAAGCCACAGGGCCGGCCCACATCCTTTGATTTAAAAACTCTGTGAAGGAGGTATGATTATTTCTATTTTTCCATTGAAGAAACCATGGTACAGATAGAATAAGAGACTTGCCCAACGTCTCACCATGAGCAGGCAGCAAAGCTAATTTTAGACCCAGGTCTCTTGATTTCCTTTCTACCCCACCACAGTGTTTCTCACAATAGAGACTTGTACTACAGTCAAGAAACATACATTTTAAAACTGAGAGCCTCAAATTCAGTCAAGTAACTTAAACGTGCTCACAAAACACAAGAACGAAACTGAAAGGATTCCTGATACATTGAGATAAAGAATGGCGAACATATACACCCAGTGATGACTTACAAGTAATGACTTACAAGTAACAAACCATATCTGGTTGTGCCCAGACTATATAGTATGTCAATTAATTAATATTAGGAGAACCCAAGACCATTTGCGAAAGGCAGAGCTAGCTAAAACAACACAACGACAACATGCTGAGCTTTGAACTCCAAGAGCCTAACTAGGCAGACCCCAGATCTGTACATCACGGAAAGAATGAGGTGCCAGTAAGAGCCCACATTCCCAATGACAACTACAGCTGACTTCTTTTCCTTTTTGAATCTCAGAAACGGAAGTAAAGACAACGAACGCTTTTGCCTGGTTCCCCTTTATTTGAACAGAAAAATACGGACTCAGTAGAACTGAGTTCAAGAGGTCTTTATTCTATTAGATCCACAGAATTCCATAAGATGATAAAGAAAGTATCATAAAACACAACACAATGTTGGTTTAATAATAATGAAATATATGGATGGGATCTCATGTTTTGAATTTTTGTAGTATATAGTCCAGAACACATAGAAAATTATACATTCTGCAGTAGATGAGGATATCAGTAGGGGCATATAAAATTGTACTCTTGAGCTCCAAATGACTAACTTGGAAACATCAGCAAACTCCAAGAAGGGACAATTCGGAGGCTATAACGGGCTTAGTGCTGCTATTTAAAGTAATGAAGCATTTTCTCTGCTTTCTGGATTCATTTCACCAAACGATTTCCTCAGCAGGTCAGATATAGATTTGCAGAAAGTGGAAAACATTTTCCAGGAATAAAACAACTGATCTCTGAGGAGCAGCTGACTTAACTTTTCTGAATAATAAATCTTGGCCTGACAAGCCTCGATTCCTCAGAGTGCTGTCACTGCTATTCTCAACCACTTCCTAACCCTGCCAGACCCTCACACGTCATGCGTACTGAACACTACTGTTGAGAGTGAGTCGCTGTGCGAGCTGTGGGACCTTGAGTAAGTTACTTAACTTCTCTGTGCCTTAGTTTCTTTGGCTCCAAAATTGGGATAACAATAGTACCTACCTCATGGAGTCATTAATGAGGATTAAATAAGGGTTTAAAAAGGCCTTGGCACACAGTAAGTACTCAATAAACCTCAGCTATTATTATCCCTGTTATACAATACAGATTTTCCTTGATATCAACAACAAACACTTTGCTCACTTTTTTTTTTTCTTATAAGCAAAGCCTTAGTTCAAAATGTCCAAGTCTCTTAGATATGAATACGAAACGATTTTGTTTCTAACACCTGACCCTTTAAGTTTTGGTCTCAGAATGAGAAGAACTAACTGAAACCATCTTATTGTATCTAGTACTTTATATGCCTTCCAAAGCATTTACGTTCATTATTCATTTGGATCTTCTAACAATACTGTGAAGGAAGTATAATATCAATTTTTACTAGCCCAGTTTTTTTTTTTTTTTTTTTTTTTTTAAAGATTTTATTTATTTATTTTTCCCCCAAAGCCCCAGTACATAGTTGTCTGTCATAGCTGCACATCCTTCTAGTTGCTGTATGTGGGATGCGGCCTCAGCATGGCTGGAGGAGTGGTGCCTCGGTGCGCACCCGGGATCCGAACCCGGGCCGCCGGCAGCGGAGAGCACGCACTTAACCGCTAAGCCACGGGGCCGGCCCATACTAGCCCAGTTTTATAGAAAGGGGACAACAAAGTCCAGAGTAATGCTTTGCTTAATGGTTATACTGCTACCAAATGGCAGAGAGGCCTAAATGCCAGGGTTTAAGACACCCAAGCCAGTGTTCTTTCACCTATGCAAGGTTCCAGATCTCTTTGGAGAAGCTGAAACCATTCTATTTATATTAACTGAAGTCCACACTTTATTTCCCTAGTTTATACCAAATATCCTTTTCCTGGTAGAAGATCCCATTCGGGATACCACATGACATTTAGTGGTCACATCTCCTTAGGCTCTTTTTGGCTGTGAGAGTTTCTCAGACTTGTCTTGGATGACCTTGACAGTGTTGAGGAGAACTGGTCAGGTATTTTCTTCAGTTGGGATTTGTCCCTCAACTGGGATTTGTCTGATGTTTTTCTCATGATTAGACTGGGGTATGGGCTTTTGGGAGGAGGACCACAGAGGTAAAGTGCCCTCTCATCACATCCTATCAAGGGTACATGCTATCAACATGGCTTATCATTGATGACATTAATCTTGATCACCTGGAGAGGGTTTGCCACGTTTCTCCACTGTAAAGTTACTTTCTCCCCTTTCCATGCTATACTCTTTGGAAGGAAATCACTGTGCATAACCCACACTTAAGGAGTGCAGAGTATCTATGTACATTATTTGAAATTCTTTTGCATGGGAGATTTGTCTATTCTCTCCAATTTATATATTTACTTATTCAATCATTTATTTATATCAGTATGGACTCATGGATATACATTTTATAGTTTGGGTTATAATCCAATGCTACTTTATTTGGTTGTTCAAATTGTTCCAGCTTTGGTCACTGGGAGCTCCTTTACTTGGCTCTTCTGTCCCTTTGATGTACTCCCAATCATTGTGATTTTCCTTTTGAGCACTTCCTTTTTTTGTGGTGCAATATGCTCCAAGCTTATCTTGTTTATTTACTGCCCTAGTCCTAGAATCAGTTGACTCTCCAGCAAGCCCTGGTTCCTTTTATTGGAAGTGAGATCTAGCCACTAGGTGTGCTCCCATTTTAGTTATGTTTTAGCCACATAACTGCTAACAAAGACACTTCATTCTGGCTGCACTGATGTGAACTGGGAACTTGAGCAGAAGAGCTCAGCTCTAGAGAACAGCAATCCCCTAAATTACTTTTTCTTTCAAAGAATAAGTAAGTCTAAGCAGGAAAAAAAAAATGCAAATAATTTCCACTATAAACTAAGTAAGACAAATCATCAGGCTTGCTGTAATGTAAGCCAACACAACATAGTTACAACAGAACTGCAGAAAGATCCTTAGAATAACAGAGTCATTTGTCGGGGGTCATCAGGGAGAATACTGATAGTATCTTCGGCTTTGCCACATAACAGACACAGCATGGTATACTCCTAGAACAAGAGAAAGTGCATAATTACCTTGAGGAACAGAGAGAAAGATGTTTTGTAACTTACTCTGGTAAAGCTGTTCTCTACAAATTGTCATGGATATTCTTTCTGTACATTAGATCAATTTCTTCAACACCTATCAGCAATGTCTTAGGTTTATTCTGTGTATCCCAGAGCTTTTTGTTTATATAAATTGAACACACACTGATGCTCTATTTACTATTCATACAAGAATGTCATCTTGGAAATTACTGGCAATTTCTTGAACTTAAAAAACATACATATTGGGCTTAGTTACTGCTGCTATATAAAGTAAGGAAGCGGGCCAGCCCCGTGGCTTAGCGGTTAAGTGCGCGCACTCTGCTGCTGGCGGCCTGGGTTCGGATCCCAGGCACACACCGACGCACTGCTTCTCCGGCCATGCTGAGGCCGCGTCCCAAATGCAGCAACTAGAAGGAAGTGCAGCTATGACATACAACTATCTACTGGGGCTTTGGGGGAAAAAATAAATAAAATTATACAAAAATAAAAAAATAAATGATGAAGCAATTTGAATGTGGGTCACTAAGGACAAATTCCTGTTCTTAGAGTTGTTCCTTTCTAGGATATTTAACACTAATATGCAACACAAATGATTTTTTTTTTTTTTTAAAGATTTTTTATTTATTTATTTTCCCCCCAAAGCCCCAGCAGATAATTGTCTGTCATAGCTGCACATCCTTCTAGTTGCCGTATGTGGGACGCGGCCCCAGCATGGCCAGAGGAGCGGTGCGTCGGTGCGCACCCGGGATCCGAACCCGGGCCGCCGGCAGCACACTGTGCGCACTTAACCGCCAAGCCACGGGGCCGGCCCACAACACAAATGATTTTAAAAACAACAAAAAAGGAAGAAAATTCCCAAACCAAAAAAGTTATTTTTATCTACTCCAGGAAAAAAAAAATTGTGTTAAATCCATTAGTATGTCATGCCTTACATTTAGATAGCTAGTTGTCTGGAATTTGACCTATTTGAGAAGTTTTGTTTCTTGGGCTTAACAAATGTCCAAGTGACTGGTGACATAAGGGATTTTGTTTTAGACAAAAATCCTTAGGGCAAAGTCCTCTCCTTATAGCTGTTTCTTTCTAGAATATTTAATATGGTCAAAAACTATAGAAACATATTTCTTTTAAACCTTTTGCTTAAAAACCTTATATCTTCTTTAGGAAAACAAACATCCATGTGAAATCTATTAGTACTTCCACACCTGACACTGACATTGCTGCTGTCTGGAAATTGATCAGTCGAGGCAGTGTGTGTTTCATGGGCCTGGAGCCACTGCAGAGAGGGTCACAGAGATCACTAATGACTACGGCACAAAGACTCTGAACCAGACAACTGCCTTTCCATTTCCTACAGTGAGTTCAGCAGGAAGCTTAGTGGCAGTGGAAAGACTGTTTCTTAAAGACCATGCAATTTTAAACTCTACACACACCATAGAAATAAATAGAGGCTAGAGCTCAGCAAACAAATACAAGTCTCATGAATTAAAAACAAAATAAAACTCCACTCTCTTCCAGGTCTTTTGCTGCTCTCAAATAGCTCTGCTTTCACCCACCAGACTTACTAGCAGGATGTCAACCTCTCACTGGAAATGAAGAAGAAAAAAGTAATCGAGTCAAAATGGGAACATGTGTGAAGCTAGACAAATATCCGAGTTTTCAACCAATTTATCCACTGACAAGATTTTATTAAGTGCCTAAATGCTCTGCAATGTGCGAGGCGACTGGCAGACACAAGAAAGGGCAAGGACAAGGTCTGACCTTGCAAAACTTACCATCAACTTGGGAGAAAGAAAAAACCTAACCCATGGTATAATCTGGAAAGGTTATTAAATCAGTAAGACTGATTACACCTCTAATCTTCAATTTATAGGCAGTCTGGAATCCAAATTTCATTATAGGTCAATTGTTTGGAATTCAAAAGCAGTTTCCCACAGAAGTAATGTTGTACATGGCAGTTAGGTTCCCAGGGAAATCCAGGGAGTCTTTTAAATTTACATTGAACAAGTGCTATAGAATCTAACCATATATAGCAGTGCTTCTGTGGGAAAATATGTCTAGAATTCTAACTTGGCATGCCAGGAACATATCTCCCTGTGCTGCCAGGAATATGGTGGAATTAGGACACCTTTTACCAAAACCAGCCAAGTTGGGAGAATAAGAATTCCCCCTAGTCATTCATGGAGACCCCCAAGGGCTCTACCTGGGCAAAGCCTAAGGAGAAAGACTGGCAGGAACGATGGAGGGGTGGGATCACCTTTGGGTAAGACCAGATCCTTTGTTTCACTCTGAGGGCCCCTTGGCCCTTTTCCTCTATTTCTACCCGTTAATTCTGACCCAAGTCCTCTCCTTCCTTGGTCCACAGAGGAACAGAAAGCAGTCTCACAGTTGCCCTCGCGTTACCTGAGGCAAACACATAGTCCTTTTAATGGCTTTCAGGGAGATATAAAAACTAAAGGATCCCTGGAATCATTTGTAATGTATTTTCCATTTAAACTCTGTACTTCTGTCTCTACTTTCCCTTCTACTCCTGCTACCAGAAACTCTTACTTTGTTTAACAATGCTATTATGGTTGTTTTACAAACAGAATCCTTATCTTTTAGAGATACATACTGAAATATTTACAGAAGTAGTGATATGTTTGGGATTTGCTTCAAAATAATCCTGTGGGAGATGTGGGAATGGTAAGGTACAAATAAAGCAAACTGAAGCTGGGGAGTGGAGGTTAATATACTATTCTGCTTACTTCTGATTGTGTTTAAATTTCCCACGAGACATTTAAGACAAAGCAAAACATTCCCAATGGTGGGTATCCCACCTTGAACTTGAACTACTGCTGGAATAAGATGAGGGCTGGAATAGTGTGGGGATGAGGAAGTAAGTCATAGCAGCTGAGAATGAAGAGTTCCTGTGGTCATCAGGCTGAGATGGAAGTTCCCAAGTGGCTAGGGCCTGCTGTAGGTACAAGAAGAGTGCAGAAAAGGGACAAAGCAGTACAGGCTGGACTGTCAACAGCAAAAAAAGAGACAGAATTTAAGTTCAGCTTTAAAGAGGTAAAATTTAGTTGGCTTGAAGGTAGAGAAAGGACAATTTAAGACAAGGAAAAAGCATGAATAAGGATGGTGATATGGAAAAGAGCAAGCACATCGCATACGGAGCAGCAGAGGAGTGACAGGATGATATGTTTAAGAAAGACTGATTGAGGGCAGTGGGTAGCACTACAGTTTGGGGGCTGCTGCAGTAATTTAGGTTTGGGAGGATCTGGTCCTTGACAGGAGGTATGACAGTGGAGCCAAAAAAAGGAAGAAAGGAGGGCAGGTAGGGGTATCAGGGTTAGAGGAGGAGATTTGGAAGATATTTGATATGTTTCAACTGAGACTGAGTATGTGTATGCTCACTATTTGAGGGAGTATGGAGAAGGTTCCAGACCAGAGACCAAAGCCCAGGGGAAAATGAGTTAGGAAAAAAAAGGAAAGGAAACCAGAGAAGAAGCAAAGGAGCAGTCAAAATGATTTAAAAAGAAAGAAAAAAGTCTAGCACTCTGGACCACAGGGGAAAAAATGCTTCAAAGACAGCAATGGTTAACAAAACCAGGTCCAGAAGAGATGTTAGTAAGAACTGAGGCAAGGTCACAGGATTTGGCTACATTACAGGAAACCTACAGGAGAATAGTTTCAGTAAAGTGAACATGAAAACCGGACTGTCAGCGGTTAAGATGACACAGGGAAAGAGGGAAAAGAGGTAAAGACCTACTCAGGTCAAGAAGCAAAAGGAAGGACAGAGACGACTAGAGGATGAACCAAAGAGGCGGCTGAGTGAAACAAAAGGATTTTAATTTATTTTTAACAAATAAAGAAGAACTAAGTATATTTAATGTAAAAAATGTTTTAAATCAAATGGAGAAAAAGAGGATGCTAGAAGGAGAGAAGATAACATGAGATTCCTGAGGAAATGCAGTAGAAGTAGCCTTAGAGAGGAGGAAATAAAAATCTTCCTCGATAACAGGTCTGGTGTACATGAGGAGAGCAGTGGGAAATAAGAGAAGGGGAAGCTGGGCCAGCCCAGTGAGAACCTTGGAATGCGGAGCTTGGATATCACACAGCAGCTAAAGGTAGCTATGGAAAGGCCAATGAGGTAGTGTGAAAGTATCATTTAAAAAAAATAATAATCTGATGGCAGAATACAGAATATGTATGGGTGGCGGAAGTGGATGTTGGGAGAGAGAAGACTGGGGGTAGAGAGTCCGGTTTAAGAGTTTTTTCCAAGAGAATCTCACACTATCTAGGCATTGTGATTATAAGCCATCTTCCTTTTTCTTCTGTCTACCCCAGAGTAATTTCTGGGGCAGCTCTGAAAATGGGTATGTTCCGTTATAAAGGAAAATCAGCTAGACTTTGGTCTCATGGCGATGATATATAATGGCTCAATTAGGACATAAAAAGACAACCTCAATATCCATTTAGAGACTCTAAAAAGCTCACAGGAGCTTCAGAGAAATAGCTTTAAACACTCCTTTCCTCCCATAAAAGGATAGAGCTGCTCCTTTAAGCCCATGACATGCTCATTCCCCTATTTGGCCACCATTCATTGAAATCTCGATTTTGCCCTAAGTTATACATATCTTATAAATATTTTTTGAGGCATAATTTTTGGATGCTGAGGATTAACCACAACATATTAGACCAGATTATGACAGGTGACTGTTTTCTTCCACACTAAAAAAAGGAAGAACAAGAGTGGTTATACTATTTTATAAGATTCTGTTATGGAAGACTTTTTTCTTCTAATTACAGTACTACCCAAATTTGAAGGATTTATGGGCCGGCCCCGTGGCTTAGCGGTTAAGTGTGCGTGCTCCACTGCTGGCGGCCCGGGGTTCAGATCCCGGGCACGCACCAACGCACGCTTTTCCGGCTATGCTGAGGCCGCGTCCCACATACAGCAACTAGAAGGATGTGCAACTATGACGTACAACTGGGGCTTTGGGGGAAAAATAAATAAATAAAATTATAAAAAAAAAAAAATTTGAAGGATTTAAAAAAAATTCCCTTTATATCTTATGGATGAACATGGAGTTCATGCTAAATCAGTAACTCAATGTGAACACCTGCAAACAGATGCAGTGAGGGACAGACACAGGTTCCAGTGTGTCCTCGTGCTTTCCAGTCCGTCCGTGGCTCTCCTTCATTGCCCAGCTTTCCTTCCTGACCACCAGATCTGTGACTCTTCAGCAACCTCAGGCTCACACCAGCCTTCTGTAGAATTCTTCACATGCTCTCACAACTGTATGAGAACTGATCCTAATACTAAATCCCTAGCCATTCAGCCTCTCTCTTCCAACCTTGATACATCCACCTCGTCATTTTACTTAACAAATACTAATAAAACGTCTTACCACAACCGAGACTATAGAGTGGCTCAACTACAAGTGCCTACTAGGGAAAACAAAGATAACCTCCTTATCACAATTTCCATGACCGGCAAGTACGGTGGCAGTGCATAGGCCAGTACTTAAAGACAACAATTGTGCAATCGCATAACTGGGTAGAGAAGAAAAGGGCACAACAGTAACCTCATAAGAAGCCATAATGAGCTGTTCTTTATAAACAAAAATGACAGGATTGAGATATCATTCGTAAGGCATGCATTTTGATTTGTGACTCTTGTGAAGACAGGCTTGAACAGATCCACCCACATCTCTGTCTCTCTCCACTTACACAGGTAGAAGAGAGGGATGGTCTCCTTTAATATTCACTAGTACTTCATTTATGAAAACTACAGCTAGATTTTCAACGGTACTTTTATTATCCCACTCCCAACAAGAACATACCCATATTTATACATTTACCTGAAATTCATCCATGATACTGAATGTATACTCATGCCTGGCTACTACGTGATGACAATTCTTACACAGATCTGCCAAAACAGAGAAAGACTTAAATAATTAAGGCTTGGGAGGCGTCTCGAGACAATAAAATTTCTATTCTCAGCATGGCATTGCTTTAAAACAATCTTAATTCTGTTATACTTAGCACAGCAAGAAACCTATTATAATATCTACTTTGATAAGAAATCTAGAATCTGTCCCATAGCAACACTACATTAATTAAGGGCCTGAACTCAGAGACTTAAAGTGCATATATTAATCACCATTGAAAGCTCTCTCAGGTAATCAGTTAACAGATACGTGTGTTTTCTAAACTAGCTGCACCTATCTAACTATGTAAAAGCTTTTATTCTCAGGAATGACAGAAATTGTGCTACTACAACCAATAAAAAACAAAAGACTCTAGTAAAAATAATATGATAATAACTATAATTTATTGAGTGCTTACTGCATGCCAGATACTGTTTTAAATACTTTTAATCTATTTATTCACTTAATCTTCTCAAAACCCCAATGAGGTACACACTATTGTTACTACTGTTTCAGGGCTAAGGAAACACAGGTGCACTGTGGTCAAGTAACTAGGAAGACCACCAAGCTAGGAGTGTTGGAACCAGAATTTGAACACAAACATTCTAGTTCTAGAGCCCTAGCTCTTAGGCACTATGCCCCACTACCTGGAACAAAATAGAGTTTCAAGGGATATATGCTAAAAGAAAGAAAAAGATTCTTTTAACTTAGAAAATTTTTTGATAGTCTGACTCTATTCTAAAGGCTTAGTGTCTCTCATACCCCTCTTTCAAGATATCATTATTTGCACATTCATTCCTCATATATTCAGAACATAACAAGGAACCAGGAGACAAGCAGGAAGGGGACGTGAACAGTTTAAATACTTGTCACAATACCTGGGCCTTAAAGTGTACATATACTTAATTTACTCATAGAAATTCCTAGTGTCAATTTCATAATTTATTTATTTTTATTATTCATAGTTTATTTATTTGCTTTCCCAGCCTTGAGGAGGAGGAGCAGCATATGAAGGTAGCATACTTACAGCAGCAAAACAAAGAAACAGACTGACAGTGAGATAGGAGACAAAAAAGCTATAAAAGCAGAAACAAGACTAAAAGAACCATAGCATCCCAGGGTCGTTTAGTATATGGGAAACAGCTCTAAATACTTTAATGGCTATTGGAGAATATGACTATATTATACTATAGTAGAAAGTGAAAATTCACATGGATGACCCTAAGGTTAAAAAAAAAAAAGTCTCTATATCTTGTTTCAGAAGGCATCAAAAATAAACAAAAAAAAAAATTGGTGCCTGGAGCCAGACCAGATGGCCCAGTGGTTGGAGTTGGGTGCGCTCCGCTTCAGCAGCCTGGGTTCAGTTCCCAGGCACGGAACCACATACCGCTCATCTGTCAGTGGCCAGGCTGCAGCGGCAGCTCACATAGAAGAACTAGAAGGACTTACAACTAGAATATACAACTATGTACTGGGGCTGTGGGGAGGGGAAAAAAAAAAAAGAGGAAGATTGCCAACAGATGTTAGCTCAGGGAAAATCTTTCCCAGGAAAAAAAATTGGTGCCTGAATCATAACCTTCAGTTATCTGCAAAAGTCATTTATGTAAAATATCTGATAATGCTAGATAAATGAGGTGTTATCTACATTTTCCTCTTGAAAACCTAACTAGTAACTATGTGTTGAACTATGATGTTGAAATAGGCCTCATAATACTTTACACAACCTATCAACTTCCAAAAGCTAACACCTGCTAACGGACTCACGTGGGGAAAAAAAAGTCTACTTACGATCATAGGTAACTATTTCTTCTCCATCTTCCTCTTTCAAAGATTTGTTTGTGATCAGCATAAAATCCCGCTTATTGCATACTGCACAGCCTGTAAAGTTCAGCAAAAAAGATCCATTCTCCAGACAGATGGTACCCTAAAATATTAAAAATAAGAATTTATTTTTCTTAGATTTCAAAATCCTTGGTGAAAATGATTAATAGACTTAAAAATCTCTAAAGGCAAAAAACATGGCCAGAATGTACTTGCTTGAAGGCTACACCAAGTAATTTTGGAAATTACTAGCTTTCTTTGAGAGGTGTTATTCATGGTAAATGAAACTGAAGCAGTGGTAGAGCTGTAAGTCTCTGAGGACTGCAGCTGTGTTTAAGAAAGAGGACTGAATGCAAACGGATATTTAGAAACAACTTAATGAAGCTTTAATAATATAAAATACGAAAAGGAAAAACTAGAAAAATCTAACAGCCAACACTATTAAATGAGATAGATCATAAAACTAGAATTAAAATTCAATCAAAATGGAAACACTGAGCCAAGGACAGAAATGATTGTATACACTGTGATGCTCAGTCGATTGTTGAAATAGCATTTTCCGAAGCCTTAAAGATACCACAAAATAAACAAACAAAAATAAACCCTCAGCTCTACAGATGTCAGTCCTTACTGATGTGTGTGATTCAGACAGAGAAGGTAAGCTCTGCGATTCATCAGCCTGACACCATGGTATTCAGAAGAGAAAGGGTTTTGCTTCATCACTAAGAAACTGTAAACTTATGTTTCTGGCTCAAGGGAAGTCTTTGCTAAAGGCTCACTAATAATTGCTCAGAACTAAAAGTCATTTTATAAATAATCTAATTCAATCTCATTTCTGACCAGCAAATTTAGGGTATTTTTAAAAGTTAGTGTGACTAAAAATCATTGAAATCAACATTTCGCTAATGCAGCTATGTGCCTGCTACTGTGCAAAGCACCGTGCAGGATTTGAGGATAAGTCACGTTTCTACCTTCAAGGAGGTTATGAAGTATTAGGGGAATTAAGACCCACCTTACAGGATGCCACAGTGAAGCCTTCCTGGATTCCCAGCACCACAATTAACCTCTCCCTTCTGAGTGGCTCCTTAGTGCTAATGTATTAAGGCACAGGTTAGCTCTGCTGGGGGGAAATGAAGCTAACTATATAGTTTGGAGATACTAAATCAGAGGCACATTGACTTAACTACTAAAAGGGAAAAAAAGAAAGCCTGGGATTAAAGTATAAATTTCCAGCTATTAAGAACAAGGACTTTGCTTTGATTAAAAAAAAAAAAAACTTTAATGAGGTATAATTGACATACAAGAAAATCCACAAATTGTAAGGGTATAGGTGAACAAATTTTAACAAACATATATGCCAATATAAACACTACCCCAATCAAGATCTTCCCAGGAAGTTCCTTCCTGCTTTACAGCCTATCTCCAACCCCTCTCTCACCTCAGGCACCCATTGATCTGATTTCAATCTCTACAGATTAGTTTTGCCTCTTCTAAAATTTCATATAAATAGAATCATACAGTATACTCTCTTGTATCCAGCTTCTTTTGCTGACAACATAATGTCCATGCTAAGCATCTATTTTGTTGTATGTATTAGCAGTTGGTTGCTTTTTATTGCCAAGTAATATTCCACTGTATGGATTTATCTGTTGATAGACATTTGAATTCTTTTCAGTTTTTGGCTATCATGAATAAAGCAGCTATGAAGATTCATATATAAGTCTTGTGTGGACATAAGCCTTTCTCTTGGGTAAATATCTAGAAGTGGAATTGCTGTCATATGGTAAAAATATGCTATATGTTTTATAAGAAACTGCCAAATGGCTTTCCAAAGTTTCCCATTTTCCATTCCCACCAGCAATGTGTGAATTCCAGCTGCTCCACATCCTCACCAACACTAAGTCGTCTGTATTTTAGCCATTCTAATGACGTAAAGTGGTATCTTATTGTAGTTTTAATTTCCCTGATGACTAATGATGTTGAGCATCTTTTCACGGTTCCTATTCATATACCTTTTCTTGTGAAGTGTCTATTGAAGTCTTTTGCCATGTTTTTAAAGTTAGGTTATCTTCCTATTAAGTTATAAGAGTTATTACTGAGTTATAAGAGTTCTTTATATATCTTAGATACACATCTTTTGTCAGATGTATGTATTACAAATATTTTCTCCCTGTCACTGGTTTGCCATTTTTTGTGTGGTGTCTTTTGAAGAGCAAACAGTTTTCATGTTTATGAAGTCCAATTCATCAATTTTTTCCTTCTATTATTTGTGCTTGTCTTTTAAGACATCCTTGCCTACCCCAAGGTTGCAAAGATTTTCTCCTAGAAACTTTATAGTTTTAGCTTGTAGGTGTGGGGGATCAGAATTGGAGACCCCAAAATGTGTCTCTTGGCCTTATTTTTAAGGACAAAAAAACTCTGAAGGAAACTTGGACCTTCCCCACTAACTGCCTAAAAGAATTTAAGACAGAAAGCCCATCCCAGGACAGGCCATCACCAGAGATAACTCTGGGTATTGGTACACTGGGAGGGTCCTTGCTAAGCCCATTTTTATCAAAGTTCTGTCTCTCAGGTCACATTGACTATAGGAGGCCCAGCAAACACTTGTTTAACAAACACTTGCTTTTCCATCTCCATGTAAATTGCCTTCCTCCCCTTTGAAGTCCCAAACCACTACCCCCAACATCCTCCTTTGTCTTTAGCTGAAGATGGTATTCAAGGTGGCAGCTTTGGCCATTTTGAAGAGTTACTCAGTTTTCCTGGGTTTCTCTCATGTATACATGTTATTAAACTTTGTTTGATTTTCTCTTGTTATTCCATCTCATGTCAATTTAATTCTTAGACCAGCCAGAAGGACCTAGAGGGTAGAGAAATTATCTTCCTCCCCTACATAGGTTTAGGCTTATGATCCATTTTGAAATAATTTTTACATATGGTATGAAGTAAGGATCTATCCAGTTGTTCTAGAACATTTGTTGAAAAGACTATCCTTTCCCCACTGAATTACACTGGCACCTTTGTGGAAAACTCAAATGACCATTTATATGTGGGTCTACTTTTGACTATTCCATTCCCTTGACTTATACATTTACCTTTGGGCTAACGTCACACTCTCTTGATTACTGTAGCTTTATAGGAAGTCTTTAAATCAGGTAGTTTATGTCCTATAATTTAGTGAGTCTATGTTCTTTTTATTTCCATATACCCTTTAGAATCATCTTATAAACTTCTAAAAAAAACCTGCTGGGGTTTGAATTGGGACTTCCTTGAATCTATAAAAGATGACTGCCAAGGACTCTAAGAAATTAAGGAATGAAAAACAGTCTTAAAATAATAAAGATCTAAATACCAATTTCAAATAAACAGAACTCTGAATAGGCCTGCACCCATAAACACAGGGACCTTATACAATGCAGCCTACTTCTGTAATCTGACCTTGTAAGTAGGCAGAACGTAAACTCTAAGGAAATACTGAGATAAGAGATCTATGTATCTGCTGTGAGGTAAGGAAACACATACTTGAAATGGCAAAATGCAAGTATAGTATATCAGAAACTGATGGGGCTTTATGGCCACTTGAAACCAGTGACGGTAATCTTCATCAGTGAGACATGGCTCTTTTATTAAATGAGGCACGATTATTAACGTTCAAATTTGGGAAAGTAAATTAAAGCACACAATATTCAGGGAAGCTTGAGGCTCCCACAATGGGAGGAAAGAGAAGAATGTAATTTAAATTAATTCCACAGTAATAGCAAGCTATAACAGTTTCAAGAAGACAGGAAAAAAAAGTCAAATGTTAAATACCCTTAGAAAATGCGATTCAGATAAATCCTGGTTGAGGATGTGTAAAGGTATGCAAGTGTGCAAGAAGAAATGGTTGAATACTATGATGATAATTAGTATGACAGTATTTATGATAAAATCTTATAAATTTGAGAAATCTGCAATTATTTTGACAAAGACTGGACCAATTTGCTTTTTCCAGAAAACGATTATTTCAGATGGTACAACTTAACAGTGTATATGTTTTATCAGGGAATGTTTAAAATTAAAAATGGAGAATATAGTTTTGTTTTTTTTATTTATTTATTTTTTGTGTGAGGAGATCAGCTCTGTGCTAACATCTGCCAATCCTTCTCTTTTTTTGCTGAGGAAGATTGGCCCTGGGCTAACATCTGTGCCCATCTTCCTCCACTTCATATGGGACGCTGCCACAGCATGACTTGCCAAGCAGTGCGTTGGTGCGCGCCCGGGATCCAACCTGGTGAACCCTGGGCCGCCGCAGCGGAGCACTCGCACTTAACCGCTTGCACCACCGGGCCGGCCCGAGAATATAGTTTTTAAAGAACCAAATTTTAGTTTTTCTGATATTCCCCATTGTTTTTCTGTTTTCTATTTCATTAATTTCTTCTCTAATCTTTATTATTTCCTTTCTTTTGCTTGCTTTGGGTTTAGTTTGCTCTTGTTTTTCTACAGTCTTAAGTAGAAGGTTAAGTTACTGACTCAAGATTTTCTTTTTTAATACAGGCATTTAAAAATGCAGAATATCATTTTAAAGCATCCATTTACATACAATTGTTTTACTAACTATATATCAGACTCAGCGTTTAAGTAAATACAGTTTAATGCTAAGCAACAATTTGAGTAAATGAACTTTAGTAGCTTAGTTTTAAGTGATGTATATAAAACATGTAATTTCTAATTTAAACATATCACTAATTCACACTGATCATTTTCCTCTGATTAATGTAAATTAATGATGTATTTCTGTATTGCTGCTGCATTACTAAGAAGTTTAAAGCTGAAACTTGAACTATACGAAATATAGGTTTATTTCCAGTTTGATGTGCAAAATGTTTTATTACAATTTTGTGCCTGATCAGTAATTTTAGAAAATGCAGTAGGGTTCTAGTTCCAATTGGTTTGCTAAACGCTTTTCTGAAAGAAAAAAAATAATTTGGTTCACCGTTGAGCAAGAAAATTTGGGTTCAGAAAATTAGTATGGTTCATTTCTAATTTGATTCATGCTTAAGTTCAAGTTCTCGGTGTAACATTACAAGCAAGCAGGCCAGAGCTCTGTTAGGAATTCATTACTGCGTATTTCTAGTCTGCAAAAAACATCTATCACAAAACTCCAGAAAATTTTATGAAACCAGATAAATAATTAAATATTTATTACCTACTCATTTTGCACTTAGAGCTTCCCAATATGCTAATCCATTATTTTTTTCTGCCAGTTTTTGAATGGACTCTACTTGCAACCACCATCTTATTACCCTTTCCTTTGCTAAACTCAAGCAGAGTGGCTTCTGCTCTTACTGCCCTTAAAAATATCTCATGACTTCAAAAAATCCCAGAGCTGAAAGGATCCTTGAGACATCAAATGGTCAGTTAGTCTCTACTGACCAATACGAAGAGAGTTCAATCCCTTCTAAGGGCTACCCATTCTGTTTTTGAAAATCTGTTAGAAAGTTCTTGATTCTGATTCAAAGCCTACAACCCCATAACATCCACCCACTAATTATTTCTAAATCTGCCTTCTGAAATTCCAAAGGAAAATTTAATTCTTCCTCATGACAGCCCTTTATTTTAGAACAGAATAAAATCAGAGAAAAGTGCTTATGAAAGGCACTTTGCTGATTTTCCAATTACCTCAATCCTTTACTCTTTTTCCTATACTTTATTTTCACTTCCTAACTTATTCCTTGAAGCTCAGTCCTTGATTCTCTACAGTCTTTTCCTAAGAGAACAAATCCTTTCTATTTTGACATCTTTATTTGGCTGACATCTGTTTGAATCTCATACCCAAACTGCAATCTTATATTTTCACTCGACGCCTCAGATGTTACACTCTCAACTTCCAATGAAACATGATAAAACCAATTTGACCATTTGCCCCCCAATTGGTTCTTCCTCCCATATGCCTCCAATTTCTGTAATGATACTTCCAATTTCCAGTTGCCTAGATTGAAAACCCAGAGATCATCTACAGTTATTCTCTCCTGCATTAAACTGGTTGAGTCTTGTCAATTATTTCTTTGAAATGAGGTCTTCATTATTCTCATGTCTACACTGCTGTTGCCATAGCTCCCCAAATGCTTTGTAGGGCTCTCCTTTTACATTTCGTCCCACCCCATCATCTCAACATACATCCATAAGATTCATTTTCCTCCTTTCCTTCTTTTCTACCCTAGTCACAGCTATCCTTCAAGTTCCAACTGAAGTTCACCTTTCTTTGGGAAAACAGCGCTATCTCCTATTGCTCTCGCCTTTCTCTAAACTTCAATAGCATTTATGGACTGTACAACACATTCTTTGTTAATCACATACTCCCCTGAACTGTAAGCTCTTAGCACGGAAACTGCCTTTTATTTCTTCTTTGGTATCCTCTTCTGGCCTAGCAAAGTAATCTAGCTACAGACATATAAATGTTCAGTAAGTATACCCTGAACGAATGAGCGTAAACAAACTTCACAACCTCCCGAGCCTGAGAGGAACAGAGATTTAAAAGAAAGGATCAGCCAGGAAACCTGAATTAGTCTTGGCTCTCATACTAACTAGAATGTGAACTTGGGCAAGTGATTGCCCCTCTCTGGGCATTAGTTTCTTCATCTGCAAAAATGGGTTAGAACAGAAGGCCACAGAGGTCCCTTCCAGCGCCGGAGTTCGCTAAGAAAATTGAACTTCATTAAATCTAGCTTGAGAATGAGAGCAGGGGTAGGGGTGGGGGTGTCCCTCTGTTGTCGACTGGGTTGTCGGTGGTGGGGATTCCTCTGTTGTCCCCTGGAGCGCACGAGGAGTGGGTGACGGCTGATGTCAGCCGCCAGGGCGGGGACCTGCGGGAACGGACGGCGACAGGCCGCGCTCGCGGTCAAGTGCCTAAACACAGCTACCGGGTCACTGGAATGGGCGGTGCGACTGAGCCCACCCCGCGCCCGGCCTCTCGGGGAAGGCCGGCCGGGGGCATGAGAAGCCTCAGGGGCCGGCCATGGGCCAACTCGGGGAAATTCTCGGCGCCCACTCGCTCACCCGGTTGGGATACTCCTTCTCCACACAGTCCCCACACATCGCAACGACGTTAACTGGAAGGTCCTCCAGTGCTTCCGGGAAGACGAAACCTCGCGAGAGCTAAGAGAAGGTTGCCGCATGCGCCCCAAGTACTTGACCCTGGAATATTGGGTCTCGGGAACCGTTCGAAGTCTCCGCCTCTTAGCAACTGTTGTTAGGGCAGGGCCTTGTCTCCGAGGCAACAGTGTTGGGCAAGGAGTAAGAGTTCAGACACCTTTCCAGAAACAGGAAGTGACTGCGGACCACGTGGCAGGAAGGGAAAAGGGGTGTTGGGTTAGCAAAGTTCTGATAGGCGCCTTCCTGAGTCTAGGCTAACAGAAAGGCAAGTCACAATACACAAGTAAAGGGAATTGTTTCTCGCTGCCTCAGCTTACTCTATATGTAAGCTGAGATGATGATAATTTAAATGTCTTTCCATACCATTCCTTAGGGCAGTGAGAGTGAGAGATCAGATCTCGGCCAGTGAATAAGCAATAACTGAAGTGTTTGGGAAGAGGCACTTATAGCTCTGCAGAGAATCTCCTAAAAAGAACACTTAAAATGTTAGTAATGACCGTCCCAGAGTCCCCTGGAGAACATACTGATGGGAAACGGGTTTCTAAGTCTCTCTTTGTCGCAGAAGAACTTCAGTGGCAGGCAAGCACTATGTAAATAGAAAATGACCGGGTCAGTTATCCCTGCATCATATCCTAATCCTTTAGAGCTCAAAATGCTTGTGATTGGTGCCCTGCCTCTTCCTTTCCCTCCATGTTGAAAGCATCTTACTATTCACAAAGATGTGATTAACCTGAACATGAATCTCTGAAATCTGTCTTTGTGCTTCTGAACGACCTGTTTGCATCCTACCCAGCTACTCCGTTGGAGATATTTAATGGGAACATCAGTATCCTCCCTTAACCTTGCCTTATTGCAGTCAAGTCAGTAAAGAAAGATCAGGGAGCATATAAGACTTGGGGATCCAGATTCTTTAAGAAGAGATCAATAACCATTTCAAAGCAAGCCAGTTTAATTGGGTTTGCTAATATAAGAATTCTATCTCCACTGATGCCTTGAAATTGTAACCTTGAGTATTTCAGCCTCTGGTAAGTATCTGCAACAGTTACTAAAAGTCACAGGTGTGCTAAGAAGCACTGCAGTGAACATCCGAGTTCACTCTATTCTTGGAATAATTATAATGCCTTCCATATGTATGACATTTTCAAACTTTCAGTGTTCTCATTTCAGTTTCTAATTTATGCTTTTACAGCCCTATAAGATTGGCAAGAAAACTATGGCTCCTCTTTTCATGAGGAAACCAAGGAAATAATTGGTTAAAGGTCTTGTCTATGGTAAAAAAACTATTCAGTAGTCAGCCAGGACTAGGACTTGGTTCCTACCCTAGGCTCAACTTCTTTTTTTTTTTTTTTTTTTTTTAAAGATTTTATTTATTTTATCTTTTCCCCCCAAAGCCCCAGTGGACAGTTGTGTGTCGTAGCTGCACATCCTTCTAGTTGCTGCACGTGGGACTCGGCCTCAGGATGAACGGAGAAGTGGTGCCTTGATGCGCACCCGGGATCCGAACCCGGGCTGCCAGCATCGCAGCGCGCGCACTTAACCACCAAGCCACAGGGCCGGCCCTCAACTTCTTTTTAATACAGTAGCCAGTAGCCACTTGTGGCTATAAAGCACTTTTAATGTGGCAAATTTGAACTGAGATGTGTTGTAAGTACATTCTGCACATTAGATGTGGAAAACTTAGTATGAAAAAATATTTCATAAAATACTTCATTAGTAATTTTTATATTGATTATATGTTGAAATAATTGGGCTAAATAAAACTATTATTAAAATTAATTTCATATGTTTCTTTTTTTTAAACTGACTACTAGAAAATTTAAAATTACACTGGTAGCTTGCATTATGTTTCTACTGGACAGGGCTGATCTATACAATTCTCTCTCGATCCATTTTTAAATGCATGCTCTGTTTTTAAAGTCTAATGCTGACTTACTAATGTAAGTTACTAATGTAATGTTAGTCTTACTAACCACTGTGTCTATTTTATTCGATTCTATAGACATTTGTTGAGTACCTTCGCTGTGCAAGGAACTGTGTGGATAAGGGGAAGATGAAAAAGACTTTCCTACTCTCCAGATATTCACGATAGAGTCTGAGAGATAAAATGAGCACCAATACCTATAATTCTGGCAGATTGTGGTATAAGAGCACAAAATGGAGAGACTACCCCCAAATGGGGGATTGGGAAAGAGGAATTTGGCCCTTTGAGAATGTATAGGATTTCAAAAAGCAGAGAGTTTTAGTAGGGGAATTTCAAGTGGACCATGCCAAGGAGTTTAGATTTTATCCTGCGGGTGATAGGGAGCCACTGAAAGTTTGAGCAGGAGAGTGATGTCAGAGTTGTAGTTTAGGAAGATTATTTTGGCAGCATTTTATTGGGACTGATTGGAACTGGAAGAAATTGGCCATGTGAAAGGCATACACTACAGGAACCACAAGGGGGAGATATATAGCTTTTTGCCTCATCACTAACAGAGAACATGCATGATAAAAAAATTAAATAAAAAATTATACTGCAGTCAAAGAACTCAAAGAGGAGATTCTTTGGCATGAACTGACTTCATGTTCTAAGGCATGAAAGACAATCTACATATTTACCAGCGTTTTTTACCTTCCCAGAATGATATATTATCTTGCTATTAAAATGAGCAAGTGAATAAAAAGGTCATTTTATTCATAGGCACAAAAATTCAAGAGCTAATGGCTATTCACCCAATGAAGTTCTCCATTCAAATCTAACCATGTTCGGGGAAGAGAGGCAGCAAACGAGACTGGCAGGAGGAGGTGGACAGGGCCAGAAATTAAAGTGTGATTGTGGTGATAGGAATATGAAAGTCCCTGAGGTTGACAGGTGGAAGAAAGGAAAATAGAGGCTACAAAGCAGATTAGTGCCTGAAAGGAGTGACCAAGCAGTACTGTAAAATAAGCAAAAAAAAGCTACAAAAAATCTATTTTCTTTTCTCTTACAAGTGATTATATAAAATAAAGTTTGCAGGAACCATTTAAGGATTATCTCCTGATACGATTGTCCCTTTAATAAACTTGTGATATCAATAATCTATAGCAAATATACCCATCTGTTGCAGTTTATGCATGAGTTTATCTCTTGTTAAAAGAAATCCATTTTGGAAACTCTAAATGTTAAAATGGTTCAATTATACATGCTAAACTACATCCCTCAGGCAAGATTAAAGTTTTCCCTTAAGAGTGCAGTTTGAATCTTCTTTTAAAACCTTCCTAGTACCTTTTTCCTATTATGATGCCCTGAAGCTAAGAGGCTGGAAGGATGCAGTATGAGCATAACTATCCTCTTCATCTTTTGTTTAAAGGGGTACAGAGCATCCCAGAGCCTTTATGGTACCACTGTCAGACCAATTTCACAGATGGAGGGAAGCTCATCTCCAAGCAGAGGGTTATCTGCTTGGTGAAGTTATGAAGGTATATGTCATTCTTTCCACTGTCTCAAGGGAAGTGTGAAATAGGAGTGGTTGTCTTTACCTGATATCACCTGCCTGGGATGAATGAATTAGCGGCAATTCTGGGTTAACACTGTGAACACAGGTGAGCCTGGCTGAGGGCAGGTACAACAGAGCTTCCAAAATTTAAGGATCAGCCCTTTTCTGTAGTTCAGTGGCCAAGTTTGACTTCCTTCTCTTTAAGGTTCTCATAGCCATTCAGATTATAAACTCCAGCTTTCAAACATAAAAGCAGGGGAATAGCTACTGTTTCTCTTTGATTCTGTTTTCTTCAGCTCTCCTCACTTTCTTTTCACATACAAATGATCATTTCCATATATAATTTTCATGATATATCTCAAAATCCCTGATGTAGTGGTCTTCGGGGAAATATTCTCTCTCAAATCTTACATGGATTGGGAAGGATTTAATAATCAAAATTTAACCGGGTTTTAGATATGCTACTATTTTATTTTATTCTATTTCTAAGATGTGCCCCAAGGGTATAGTAAGACAGAGCTGACTTTTGTTCTTTACCACCTATGTCGACTCTGAGAGGTGAAAGAGTGAGGGGAGGGAAGTCAAGAGGCTCCCATTTTGTCCTGGAGAACGGCCACCAGAGGGAGGCTTTACTTCAGGGTAATTCAGGCACAAGATCCATAGGCATCAAGAAGCTTGGGTAGTTTTGAAAAGAGTAGTTTTCACTTGCAATGGAGAAGGAATACATAGAAGCTGCAAGGAGTATTTGGGAAATAACATGGTGATTTAAAGTTAAAATTTTAGATTCCAGTCCTAATTGTATCTCAATAACAGTAGGACCATAAGCAAGTCACTTATTGGCTGGGCTTCAACTTTCTCATCTGTAAAATAAGGACAATAATGAATATACCTACCTCAGAGGGTTGCTTTATAAAATGATACACAAATGTTTTAGATATATGAGTATATACATATGACTCCAGGGTGCTAGGAAAAATACCTCTGGCCATAAGCATGAGGTGGTAGAAGGGAGGATAATAAATTAGGAAAAAGAGATTGGTAATGACTAACAGCCTCCGTGTGTGAATCTGTGTGTAGCTGAGTTGGGTAATATGAGACTGTGTACTTGAACTAATTTGTACAAGGTGGTCTGTGTACACTTGAAAAGATGAGTGAGCATGTTGTGTTGGAGAGGATGCTGTGGGGGAAGAGTTGTGTTAGGGAGGGAAACCGCAGGAGATGGAGAGAGAGCAAAGAGCCAGGCTCCTCCAGGAAGCAGACTTGGAAAGTTACCTAAAGACACAAAGAGGCAGAAGCCTTACACTTCTGTGTAAGTGCCACTTTGGGCTCATACCTAATCGCAGATTCCCAAACCTACTTCTGGTTCTTTGTACTTCTTTCTCTTGGCAAAATCTTCTTTGAGAACTAATGAGAAAATACATACCAAGGTTTGAGAGAACTGAGGCATATTAAGCAACTACAAATGACAGTGCCAAGAATGTAACAGTTATGATAAATCTCATTATGTCACTGCTTTAAAAGCTCCCTGATTCCCCATTGCCTTCAGGATAAAGACCAAGTACCTTACTATAGCATTCAAAGCCTTTTAAAATTTTGCCCCAGTCTACTTCTCTAGCCTCCTGTCCTCTGCTCCCCACCTCTGCTTCTGCTGTCCTTGCCT